CCTAACAGCCCCCATGAGGGTTTAGGGTTTAGGGTTAAAGTTTAATTTCAAAATTATTATTTTAAATTAAGTAACTTTAATTAAATAATAAGTTAAAATGAAAGTAAACCCTAAACCCCGTTCTTGATCGTCGATAATTGCTGAAACCCAGGTTACACTCGAAACCCTGGACACCAAACTACCTAAATCCTAAAGCCCCCTGTACCCCCTGTATTCCTTAAGCAAAGCACACACCAAAACTTGACAGGACCCTTCAATGCACCCGGATGACCCTTGGATGCAACGATCAGGCCAGGCACTGCATCTAAGGGTGTTTTGTGTGCATCCAAGGGTCATTGAGGGGTACTGGTCTGGTGGGATCATCGCCTTTGCTTCTGTCCCAGTGCCAGTCACTCGTCGCGAAGTTTGAAGTTGTCAGCAAGTGCTCAACTTAAACGTTGCATTCAAGGCTCCAGGCACCAAGGCACCCAGGCTCTCAGGCTCCAAGGCCTAGTAGAGTGTGCATTTTGACCCTACCCACACAGTGTACGCTGCCGTTACGTCACTGTGGGCACCGTTGGCCGGGTGTCGGGCCGCAGGAACTCAGCCTTGAGGCCAACCTGCCAAGGCAGTGGCAGATGACAGCTGGGCCAATGGGCTAATGCGCCAGCTGGGGCAAAATCTGGGCCAGGGATCCTGTTGTCCCGCCAGATTGTTCCTGCAATGAGGGGGAGGCTTTACTGCTGGGATCATCGGCTTTGCTTCTGTCCCAGTGCCAGTCACTCGTCGCGAAGTCTGAAGTTGTGCAAGTGCAGAATTCAAACTTTGCATTCAAGGCTCCAGGCCCCCAGGCCCCCAGGCGCCCAGGCTCTCAGGCTCTCAGGCTCCAAGCCCCTGAGGCTGCATGTCTACCAGCCCTCCGTGCGTCTCCAGGCACTTTGAGGCAGTGGCTGGATGGCTGGGGTTCGGGCTTTCAGAGTGCCACCGATGCCAGCACGTTTTGGTCTCGGGGCGACCAAGCTTCCACAAAGATTGATACAAGTCTTCAAACTCGTCATTGTTGTTCGTCGATGATAGTTGAAACCCAGGTTACACTCGAAACCCTCGTTACCAAACCACCTAAATCCTTAAAGCCCCCCTGTACACCCTGTAAATTCCTTAAGCAAAGCACACACCAAAACTTGACAGGACCCTTCAATGCACCCGGATGACCCTTGGATGCAACGATCAGGCCAGGCACTGCATCTAAGGGTGTTTTGTGTGCATCCAAGGGTCAATTGCTGAAACCCAGGTTACACTCGAAACCCTCGACACCAAGCCACCTTTATCCTAAACCCCACCCTGTACCACCTGTATTCCTTCAGCAAAGCACACACCAAAACTTGAAAGGACCCTTCAATGCACCCGGATGACCCTTGGATGCAACGATCAGGCCAGGCACTGCATCTAAGGGTGTTTTGTGTGCATCCAAGGGTCATTGAGGGGTACTGGTCTGGTGGGATCATCGCCGTTGCTTCTGTCCCAGTGCCAGTCACTCGTCGCGAAGTTTGAAGTTGTCAGCAAGTGCAGCAATTTAAACGTTACCGTTGCATTCAAGGCTCCAGGCACCCAGGCACCCAGGCTCTCAGGCTCCAAGGCCCAGTAGAGTCGCTGCCGCCATGATTCCAGGCACTTTGAGGCAGTGGCTGGACGGCTGGGGGTCCGGCTTTCAGAGTGCCACCGAGGCCAGCATCGGTGCCACTCATGCCCGTTTTGGTCTCGGGGCGGCCAAACTTCCACAAAGATTGTTGGTGGGAACTGATTGCAGTGGCATTGATGCACCGATCCATGGCCTTAGGGAGCTCGGCATCACGCACCAGCATTTGTTTGGGAGTGAGGTGGCTGCTGGTCCTCGGTCGGTTATCGAGGCTAATACCAAGCCCTCGGTACTGTTCCACAGTGTCCTGGATGCTGACAAGGCACCGTTCGTTCACCTGTACATTGCCGGCTTCAGCTGCAAGCCGTTCAGCCTGCTCCACAATAAGTCAAGGCTCCTCAAGGAAAAACAGGCTCAAATATTCTATGGGGTCGTTGCACGCATCCAACTTGTGCGGCCCTCGTGCTTCGTGCTGGAGAATGTGTCAGGCATCAAGCGTGTTTCTGCAAAGGTTCTGGCGGCACTCAGGTCCACAGGCTATCATGTCGAAATGATTTTGATGAACCCTGCCGAGCTACAGGAGCCCATCCAGAGGCCTAGGTACTACTTCATCGGGGTCCGGCAAGATGTGAGCCTCATCTCGCCAAAGGACATGTCGTGCTGGCTTCGTGAGGCTTGGGCGGAAGTCCTGGATGCAGTTGCTTCCGGAGACGCAGTCGATCTTTTGGATAGACTGCTACCGGCGAGCCACCCTGCTGTGGCACAGTACCAGGAAAGCCGCAAACGGAAGTGGTCGCAAGCTTCCAACCGTGGGTTCCCAGGCTCCCAGGCTCCAGGCTCCCATGCTCCAAAGTGGAAAGAATTGCACAAGATGTGCAAAGCTTCAATGCAGCAGGGCAGCCGGTTGAAGAGTGAGAGTCGGAGGCCTTGCACTGAGAGCGGAGTCGCCTGCTGCGCAGACACGTTGTTCCTGCATTTGCCGCGTGAGCGTGATGCCTGGGACATCATTTGCACAAAGCATGCAGGCAGTAAGGAGCTTGTCGCGGATGTATCCCAGAATGTGAACCGAGCCCGGGTGCGGACCGATGGCTCCCTGCCTACTGTTACACCTGGGGCCGTACTGGTATCCGCACGAGCTGGAAGGATCATTAGCCCGCTTGAAAAAGTCATGCTGCACGGTTTTCCAATTCACCGTATGGTTTTTCCCAGCAAAGTGACCGACAAGGAGCTCGCCAGCATGGGCGGCAACACGATGCATGTGCAGATTGTAGCCGTGGCAATGAAGTTTGCGCTTGCGTTGGTAAACTGGAGCCTGCCCAAAGCTTCCCGGCCGACAGCCTTGTGCAGCACCGTTGCTGCGCCAAGCATAACTGCTTCAGTTGTGCTCGGCGCAGCAGCGAAATGCCGCAAGCGCCATGGCAAGCCACGGAAGGCTCCCAAGGCGCGAAAGGCTGCATCGGCGCAGAAGCCTCCAAAGGCACCAAAGGCTCCAAAGGCTCAGAAGGCTGAAGGCATGTCAGCTTTGGCAAAGCGTTGGCAGAAAGTCTTGAGACCGCAGGCAGCAAAGAAGTGCTCGAGGAAGGGTGCCACGGCCACATTGGCGTCCCGTCTTGCCCATCGCTGGGCAAAGTAGTAGTCATTAATTCGTCATATTATGACGGAGAATGGCATGCGTTTTCTAATTTGGCCACTCGGAGTTGGCATCATAGACTGACTTAGGTGAGGCCGGGTGCAAAATTCGGGAAAGCCTGCTCCGAGCAGTACAGATTATTTGGACTGGGTCACCCTGCCGACTCCCAGTGAAACAAACCGCCGCAGTGTGCATAGGAGTTCGCAGTGTTGTGCCATTCGGGCTGCTTGACTCGGGGTAATACCCTCACGTCTGCCAGGCAGCTGCTCGCTGTCGGATCGAACGGGAAGCTGGAGGCGCGGTTCTCGGGTTAGTCGGAGTCGGTTGGACCAGTTGCAGAGTCTGATTCAGTTCCAGTCTTAGCACGGTTGCCACGGTTGCGTTTGCTTGTCATCGTAAGTGCTGCGCGGTCGCTTCAGGCTCCCAGGCTCAAGGCTCCAAGGCCCCCAGGATTTCAATGCCAGTGGGTAGCCGCACCCTGCGTGGTCTTGCCGCTCGGTTCGGACTACGCTCCCGGAAGCAGGACCGGACGCCGACAAAAAAAAGACGAGGTCCACAAGGATCCGTGCCTGCGGCCCCGAAGAAGCTTCGGCTCGAGTCCGGCGAAGGCCTGGCTCAGGAGGGCGACGACGACACCGGAAAGGGATGTGGCGATGTTGGTCTCGCGACTGAGAGCGATGCAGAGCATTTGGCTCGCCATCGTGGTGGCGACGAGAAATGCAGCCGATGCAAGCTGCCCGGTTCAGAAACCCTAATTTTAATTTAAATTATTATTTAATTTATAATTTTATTTAATATTTAAATAGAAATTTAAATCATAAATGGTCTTATTATTAATAGGGTTTCTGAACCGGGCAACTAGACATACTACATACATACATACTTACATGCCTGCCATGCATGCATACACATTACATGTCAATCTATTTTTTCATTTTGGTTCTTTATCATCTTGCTGTCGTGTTTCTCTCTCTCTCTCTCTCTCGGTGGCTCTCTCTCTCTCTCTCTCTCCGTCGCTCTCTCTCTCTCTCTCTGTCTCTCTCTCTCTCTCTTTCTCTCGTTCTCTCTCTATCTCTCTCGCTCTCTCTCTCTCACTCTCTCTCTCTCTCTCTCTCTCTTTCTCGTGCTCTCCGTCTCTCTCTCTCTCTCTCTCTCTTTTTCTCTCTCTCTCTCTCTCTCTCTCTCTCTATCTCTCTCTCTCTGTCTCTCTCTCTCTCTGTTGGATCGTTATTGTTTGTGGCAGACTTGCTACTTGACTATGTTGCAGTTGCTGGTTGGTTCTTGCTTCCGGCATTCTCGACTTGATCTCGTCCGTTTGCATACAATCCCAACATGTCAGTCAGGTTCCTTCGCTTCCAGGAAGTTTGGAGCAAAGCCGGAAGCCTCACCCACACGTCTTGGGGCAAGCAGCAGCGGACAGTTTGGCTGGGCCAGAGACCAGCTCGCCGAGGAGGCGATTGGGGCATCGGCTGTCACTTTTGTGCACACTTGATGAATGTTTTGGCACAGAACCCAGCAGAGCGGAAGAGGTTGCAGTCCGGCCGAATTGTGCAGTGTAGTGCGAGCGGATAGCCCCTTTGTGATCAAATTAAGGCTGACCGTGACCAGCCCAACTTTCGCAGCCCTAAATGCCTAAGGCTGGGCAGTCGCCTCTCTACCAAGTGGGGTGCCTATGAGGTCCGATCAAGGACCGCATCATGTTGTCGTTGTCAGCTGTGATTTAAGGCATCAGTCGCGGACTTTGGCAGGAGTGCGATGCAGGCATGCTGCATACACGCTCACAGCAAGACCTTCGTTCACCAGGTGGCCACGAAGGTTTACCTAGCTCCTGACACGCCGATCTCACAGTGCTTGCCTTACAGCATCAAGCATCAGCACCTCTTCTCCGGCAACGTTCCTCAGCCGGCAGATTGGCTGCGAGCGTGGCGGGCGTGCCGGACAGCATCTTCTTTCAAAGGTGCCGTGAAATTCTATTCCACGGAAGACTTCGCTGCTGGCAGGAACACGAAGCTTGACAGTGTGAGCCAGGATGCAGCACTTTAAAAGGCCTAAGGTTTCAGATTGTTGACATTTTATTTTGGCACATTTAAATTTAAAATTGGACAAATAATTTAATTAATCATCTGAGGTCTCAAGAACATGATTCTTGTTATGCACTGGGCTGTCAAGAGTGTTCGCAAGCAGCGTCTCGAACAAGCCACCAGCATCAGCTTGTCCGTGGACGACCGCAAGGAGTATCGTTTGGTGAGGTACCGTTGCGATGTTCCACCGCGCACTGCCAAGCAGTCAGCGGCTCCAGGCTCCCAAGGTCCCCAAGGCTCCCAAGGCTCCCAAGGCTCGGAGGATGGCCCGCTTGTCGCCGATGGCTTGCTTGGGGTCTACAAGACAGGTGCCAGTGTTCCTGAAAACACATTGGAGGAGCACGATGCGGACAAGAGTCAGGTGATGGCAGACAGCATAGGCATAGTCATTGACAGGGCCTGTCAGGATCCGGAAGGCAAAACTGACGAGGAGTCCTGCAGCCGCTTGAAGCTGCACGTGCGGCACTTTGCAGCCGATCAGTGCACATCTGCCCGGAAGTGTGGAAGGTTGTTGGTCACTGGCGGCCAGTATCCTAACCTGGTCTGGGTAAGCCATGATCCTGCGCACCAGGTTCGTATTGCCTACCAGGACCCTCTTCACGCCATGCCCGAGTTCCAAGACCAGTGGGAGCGTTTGTTTGCTCCCGGCAAGGGCAAGCATGCGCTTATCCCGGACATCCAGAACTCAGAAGTCTGGAAGGCCAGGCTCATGGCGGCCCAGCAAGAGGTTCTCAGGCTCCATGGCTCCCAGGCTGGTGTGGAGAAGGTGATCCGAGCGTTGTAGTTCTCCCAACCTCGGTTTGACTCGTCGGCCACACCAATGCTGAAGTACTTGTGCATGATTCGTGCGATGGCGGTCTTATGTGCTATGCAGGCTGCTGACGAGTCTTGTCCTTATGTCAAACAAATTTTAAAATTATTAAATTTAATAATAATTATTTATTTTAATTTAATTATTGTGTATTAAATCTTAGTCTGAGTATGGATTGTATTAATGCATGTATGTGCGGATGTATGTATGTACGTAATTATTATTTTAATAAATTTAATAATAATAATAATGATAATAATAATTAGATTAATAAATATTAATGACAATGATTAATAACTATTTAATAATATATTAACTTTTATTCAATAATAACTAAGTAT